TTAAACTCTATATACAAAAAAAAAATGTTACTATTTATTTTTACGCATATAAAATGACAATAAACAAATATATAAACTTATAAACTAATCAGAAATATAATTAATCCTACAATCACTACTAATATTGAAAACGTATGTGAATTATAAAGGACTGTAATTCAAAAAAAAAAAAAAAAGAAAAAAATACTTAAATTGTAGATCCTTTCTCAGAATTGAACCTAGCAAATATTCCTTGATTCGAAATGAGTGTTAAACTATTCTATGTATTTTGATTAAATTAGTAATTTGAGAAGTATTCACTATATAGCTGATTTAATATTACCGCCAGAAGAAAACCAATAATGCTACTAAAATTTTGCACTTCTCGGTGTTCTGAATCTGGTACTAATTATAGAAAAAATTCAGAGAATGTGTTTAAAAACTTGGCCAAGAAATAGTGATCGCAAGACATTTGGATGTCTAATGCAAGTCTAATTATGAACATAGTGAAGTAATATAATAATAGTCATTAATTAGCAGTTATAAATAGTAACAGTAAAATATGGATACGTATCACTTCACTAACACCCATTTCATAGACATAATATTTCATCTACAATTAATTCACTGACATATACTTTTCACAAACAACTAAGCTCATTTCGTAAACAACTTATTTCACTAACAGCTCATTTCGCTGACAAGTTTATTTCTTATAAATTACTCTAACTCTAATCTCTAACCCCAATTCTAATGATAATAATGTCAGTGAAATGAGCTGTAAGTGAAATGAATTGTCTATGATATGAGCTTGCCTAGGAATTGATTGTCTGTAAAATAAACATGTCAGTGAATTGATTGTAGGTGAAGTGTTATGTCTATGAAATAGGTGTCAGTGAAGCAAATGAAAACGTAATTAAGGATGTCTATTATGTATTTAAAATGCATTATGATCTAAATATATTTAAACTATTCGAAAAAATGTTAAAACTGCTTTTTTACTACCTCTAATTGCAATTTGAATTTAATATATCGATTTATGGTCATCATAATACTACCTGCAATATGTAATTAGACTTATATTAAAGCGGTTTAAAATATAATCATACCTATCATTACAATACAATCTCAAATTAATTCTAGTTGTTCAACGATCTTATTAAGCATTATCATTATTATTTTAATGTACATACCCCATACATAGTTAGTATCTTTCATGGTTACTACTATTTGTCTAACCTTGCATTGATTCTAATATGGTAATTAATAGATAGCCAGTCTAAGCCTACATCAGGAAATCAATTTTAGTACTGTTCTGCACAGATCTGCAAAAAATTAAATAATAAATTTAATAAAAATCTGTGTAAATCTTCGGGTCTGCCACTGACAGATGCAGAAATTAAATGCAATTCTGCACAAATCTGTAAATTTTCAAAATTTTGCAGATTTTTATTAAAAATTTTATAAAAATCTGCACTTTTTTTCTATTTTTACAGATCTGTGCAGATTTATATCTATTTTACTTTTCAGATGTAAAGTAAAAAAAAATATAAACACTTTACTATTTCCTAATCAGGAAGCAGAACATAAGTTATTTATTAAAATTGTGCTGATATTTGGGTGAAAAAAAATATTTATTAAGTAGCGTTTACGTGTTTATCATTGAGAAGGAAGAGATAGAGTGATTTTAAATATCTTGTTCATAACATCTATGATATATAATAGTATAAAAAGAAAAGGTTATAGTTGACAATGATGTATGGAGAGAAAAATATCTGTAATAAAGATATAGTTGTATAGCAAGTATGAAAAAGAAAATATAATTACAAGAAATTATGCTTATTGAGATCACGTAATATTTGAATAGAAAAACATTTATAAGATGAAGTTTACACATTTATCATTAAAAAGGAGATAGTGTGATTTGAACTTACCTTGTTCATTGAGACTTGTGATGTTTTGCGAATATAAAAAAGTTGTCAATGATATGTGAAAGAGAATTGTATTGCAAGTATGGAAGAGGAAACTTAGCCAAATATGTTAAATATAGTTACAAGAAATTATATTCATTGAAATCATTAATTATAGAAAAGAGAGATGGCATGATTTAAAATTATCTAGTTCATTGAGAATTGTGATATATCATAAGTGTAAGAAAGAAAAATTATTTACAATTGTCAATGATATGTGAAAAAGAAAATATTAGTAATAAAGATATAGTAGTATCACAAATATAGAAAAAGAACTTTGTCAAATACATTAAACATAATTACAAGAAATTAAAATATATTTAAACTTATCATTTTAACTTTTAATAAATTTTTTTCAAAATTCAATTTTACAAAGAGATAAATAAAAAGTTAGTAGGCAGTTTAAACCAAAAACAACTTTCATATAATAATTTGACTTCTCAAATATATCTAACACCTATCTTTAATAATCATAATATAAAACAAAATCTAAATTCATGTCTTTTGCTTTTATATCATCGATCTAACAAAACAACAGAAATTATTAATCAAAGTATATCACTTAAATGCAACTGTTATTTATTACTGTGAAATCCTTACCTTTTAAATTATTATTTCTCCTCTACATTTATATCTATCAATTTATTTTATATCCACACTTATTATTTATCTTGTGCATTCTTATATATATACCTTAGTTATTATCTTGATCTAAATTCGTATAAATTATAAATTAATCTCTCTTATCAAAGATTTCTAATCATAAAGAGAAGTGTAACTTTTAATAAACCTTTTTTAACATTAAGAGAAATGCTATTTGCAAATATTCGCATCTCCAAAGGATCAAAAAATATTTATGAGTAGTATATCCATTCTATTCTCTATGAAATGACAATAAAAGATTTCTTTGTGAAACTTATAACTGGAGAACTATCTTCTAGTATAATATCAGTGTAATCAGTCTTGAAGCAATAGAACATGTCAAGCTAAGTAATTCACCAACTATAGGCGTAACCTGAGTTAGTTCTAATTGTAATATTATAGAAGTTATAGTGAGTATAGGAATATATATACATTATTACCTTAAAACAGATGACGTTATAAATTCAAATATAATATTATAGCAGAACAGCCTTGCAATCCTAATGCAAAATACATACTAAATCAAACTATATTTACCAACTTTTCAACAATCTGAAAAGACAAATCATAAAAATAAATTACGCAGTAATATTGTTGATTGGATTCGGAGTCATAATGAGGGATAGTCTACTTAATCATATGCCAATACCCAAGGAAAGAATTTTATTGTTAGCCTAAATGAAGCAATTTGGTATATTGATATATGTAGCTACTGGAAATTCGAAGAGCGTAGTTATCATATCCCTGAGCTTTTTCTTGAATTTTTTAATCATGCAAACCCAGAATCATACAGGGAAGTACAAAAACCCTTCGATAAAAATGAACTAAATTTACATTGTCATGCACTTGCTCTATATGCTACTTCATCCTGGATGCTAAAAAATGATTTTAATTGGCTCCGTAATGCATTTGATGATTTTGTTATTGCTATTTCAAATTATATAAAGTTTCTGTGAAATCAACGTAATGTTACAGCTATGAATCACACATTAGAAACACCTATATAAACTATTGAACAGGCTACAACAATTCAAATCCATAAATGAAACTTTTGGGTTACAGCCATCGATAAGACCAAATACTATCATCTCGAACAAGTACTTACTAAATTACCACTATAGAAACCAGTTGACATTGAAGAATTTATGCCCATTGACTATGTGTAAGTAATAAAAAAAAACAATAAATATTATTACTGATTAATATAAGAAACTGGGTCTATATTAATATTAAATTTCTAATATAAAATACTGATAAATATAGACAAAGAATATGTTATATTCAGAGCTTATCTCGCGTATTTTCTTTCAAAATTGGGGAGTATAGATTTAACTCAGGAAATAATACTTTTAATGCCATATCAATATAGAAAATCAACGAAGAAGCTGATGAAGAAATAACTTTAAGAGAGAATAACAAAATTATAAATAAGTTACAAGAAGAAGTACCCTGTTATCATACACGTACAATGCAGATAAATTACTTACATATCTGTGATTTGCTCTTTCTAAAGGCCAAACTATCATCACTTTGGACAATCTATAGAATGTTAACAGGTGATATCTCTGCAGTTAAAAATACAAATCAAGAAGAAGTTGATAAACGTATTAAAATTGCCTTAGACCTCAGTGATTCAGAAATTGCAATTGATTTACATGAGCATAATAGTAGAAGACCTAGTAAATATGATAAATTTTGGCAAATTGCAGCTCAATTTTTTGAAGGAAAAGCAGCTAATGTAGTAATAGCTGTAGATAAGCGCAAACATAATCCAATTGTGCATCTTGCAACTGCAATATCCATAAACAATCTTCTGCATCAGATTGAACATGAATGCCTATCTGGGATACCAATTCCTAGTCCACAATGATTATGGCTGCAATTTTGGCCTAAAAATCCAATGTAGCTTAGCAGTTTACAATTTACTGGTCATTTACCCCTAAAATTTATGGTGCAAACCTGTCAATTACATGCATATCATCCAGATGCTCATTATGCATCAGCATTGTTCCATTATGAGAAAGAGTTTGTTGTGAAATTTTATAAAATTACAAAATTTATCTTTTTAGATGATAAACATCGCTGTAAAGTTAGAGAATCTGGTTTTCCTGTTGCCGCAATTGAGAGAAGAAAGAAAGTTGTAGTCTCTAGAGACACAACATTTAAAGTAGCAGATCATGACTATACCAAAACAGGAATCATACCAAGTGTGATAATGATATGTAATATACCTGAATCGATAAATGGTGATTTTTATACAGGACAAGTACATATTGAATTAAAAGATCCGATTTTTTAACCTTCTAAGCCCCT